GCTTTTTGAAATAATGAGTTAAACAACTAGTATCATGTACAAATACAATTATCCTAATTGAAAACGAATAGCTATAAACAAAGGATTATTAAAAGTTAACGTGTAAATAAACGCAGTGCATGATCTAACCTTATAAACCGCATTTGGACTGCAAATAGCTATAACATGTACATGGTGTATATGTTCTTTTAGATTATACATTTTTGTAATTGCGGTACTACTAATGTGTAGGCATACGTATATTTATATACGCCTGACAAAGTGTATACAACAACACAAATATCTAAAAAAGGAAACAAGTATCTATAAATATTTCAGATAAAGATACCATTCATCAGAATGATTATGATGATGTAAAATGAATAATATTTATTAATTCTGATTTAACTAAAATAATCTTAATAGTTATACGATTAAAAACCGAATAACGCTTGCATAATTCCACAAATTATGAAGTAATAATTCCATATAAGGGTTATGGTTTTACATAATAAACGAAAATGCACTAAAGACAACCGTATGAGTGTAAAAAGGACACTTACACTTGCACACACACAAATTGTATAGTCTTGTCACTGCATTAATAATTCTGTTAGTTTAAACCATATATGTGTATATCAGAATTAAAATGATTTAATCAACGGCAATAATTGTGTAAATTGGTTGAATTTTAGAGATGATACATTTTAACTATTTACCTTTAACATTTATATTAGCAACAGTAGATATTGCAGAAGTACTTCCTCCAGAACCTGCATATACCACTTGACACATGTACTCATTCTCATCTTCACATGCTATCTGAGAAAACTGTATTAAAGCAGAATCTGTAGATGAAGTTGTTGGGTTGGTAAGTGTCACTCTGTCTGATAAATAATTGCCATCAGTTGTTAAGGTTGCATTTAATGGAACAAATGGAGTGTAAAATATAGCTAAAGTTCTAAACTGTCCATTTATTTTAGCCTGAATATTTACACCTGTAACAAATTCTCCTGTCACTATATTATAAGAACATCTCATTTGTAAACTAGTCTGTCCAAGTAAGGCATCTGAAGGTGTTGCCTGTATCCGAACATTAATAGTTTCTGTACCTACAATAAAGTATAAGAATAAGAAGATGTGGTATGATTGCCAATGACACAAATATCCATCAGAGACCCAATGACACAAACGGTTTGCAACTTCATGTCACCATACGATGGTCAACGATGAGCAAAACTCATACCGCATAGCAAGCTTTAAAAGGCCCCGAAATGACAAATGTAAAACATTTCAAACGAGAAAATTAATGGCCTGACTTATCTACAAAACAATAAACGAAAAACAAATTTGATGTATAGCAACACAAGACAACCACTGATTACAGGCTCCTGGCTTGGGACAAGCACATACAGAATATGGCGGGGTCAAACATGTTTGATTCAACCAACCATACACAACATATAAAATATAAATGTGATTGGTATGAATAGTACGTGTTCATCATAAAATTAATATATCGTCCAAATTACATCATGTATCCGATCAGTTTTACAACGGAGAAGGTACAACTGTGTGTCCAATTGGTCCATAAATCAAATATATCTCAAAATGTTTCGTTTCTTTCAACTCTAAATATGACTTACACTCGAAAATAAGCTTCACAAAGAATTCAAATAGGCAACTCAAGACATAACTCAACTTGAACTTTAAGTCGTCGTGAAGTCTAACTTTAGGGGCTTTATTATATACATGTATAAGGATTAATCAATACATGTATACTAAAATTATTTTCAAATGACTCACCTATAAGTGAAAAGAGCACAATCACAACATGTATATTTTTGACACTCATCGCATTATCAAGGAAGAAAAATATCCAACTGCAATATTTACCTTTATAGATAAAAATAGTGGCAAATAACAAAGTCCAACGTAATTGATCAATTATTTGAATTTAATTCTCGAACGCTTTCAGATCATCAAGAAATGCGTGAGCGTCTAACTAATTAATATTCTTGATCTATAATTACCTATTATACTATTCAAATTTCTTCATAGAAGTGCTAACGGAAATCCTCGATGCTTGTTATATTATTACGTTAATTACTTCGAAAGAAAATATTATGATCAACTGAAAAATGAAAACAAAATAATCTTAAAGAAATGGAAGTGTCGTAAACGACAGCCAAACTTTTCGCACCATTATTAAATTTGTTAATTCTTTAATCAAATCTTGAATGAAGGTCAAGATCACTAGCCTCATGTTTGGTGTGGGCCTTCGACAATAAACATAATACATACACTTCAAAAAACAATCCTCTATAATCTGTAGTTGATTAGATATTAGCATTAACGAAATATTTAACCGAACAACCAATGTTTGACAATAGGAAGAACTAATGTAAGAAGGTTCTCACGACCTTTTCAAGTGATAATTCCTTGCCAAACCAGTACAATGACGGATCGACCTGACAGGTATCTTTCAATCAGTTTAATTGAAGTCTGGAGCTGGCATGTCAGTTAACTGCTAGTAGTCTGTTGTTATTTATGTATTATTGTCATTTTGTTTATTTTCTTTGGTTACATCTTCTGACATCAGACTCGGACTTCTCTTGAACTGCATTTTAGTGTGCGTATTGTTATGCGTTTACTTTTCTACATTGGCTAGAGGTATAGGGGGAGGGTTGAGATCTCATAAACATGTTTAACCCCCGCCGTATTTTTGCGCCTGTCCCAAGTCAGGAGCCTCTAGCCTTTGTTAGTCTTGTATTATTTTTAATTTTAGTTTCTTGTGTACAATTTGGAGTTTAGTATGGCGTTCATTATCACTGAACTAGTATATATATTTGTTTAGGGGCCAGCTGAAGGACGCCTCCGGATGCGGGAATTTCTCGCTACATTGAAGACCTGTTGGTGACCTTCTGCTGTTGTCTGTTCTATGGTCGGGTTGTTGTCTCTTTGACACATTCCCAATTTCCATTCTCAATTTTATTTGATTACGTAATTAGTTTTTTTATTTATCTTTGTATTTCATTCATAGATTTATTCTTATATAGGAAAATTTTTTGAATAGGAATGATTGAATTGTGTTTGAGGAAACTTAATATCTAATGACTGTAAAATTTATAAAAATGTATATCCTAGTGATAATGTTTTTTCTAGAATGACCAGACAAAAAAAGAAACACCAACAAGGAATTGCTTAATACCAAGTCATTAAATCAAACATGTATTCTCGATATTAGTATATAGCAAAGTGCTCTCGACCTATGAAATAGTAGAATTTGGTGTTGCTGGATAAGACAAATATCCCCCAACTTTCAAATGAAGATGATGTAAGCAATTATAGGCAGCAGTACATCCCTCAACAATGAGAAAAACCTATACCGTATAATCGGTTATAAAAGGCTGTGACATATAGAAATATAAAACATTTCAATTGGGAAAACTGACGGCCTTAGTAATAACAAAATCATTTACGAAAAACAAATATGACAGACATGAACCAACGACAACCACTGAACTACAAGCTCCTGACTTAGGATTTGCATGTGGATTAATTGGCTAGCAAAACCTCCCACATATATGGCAATGTTTAAAATACCGCTAAAATGACAACACTGCGTGCCAAGAATACAGTACAAACAAAGGTCATCACAGAGAAATACATAAATAAAAAATATAATAGTAAGTTACAAAATGTAAACCGCAAAATAACAACGGACACCTCCCATGAATTTACGACAGCACACCAGGACACCACAAACAAAATATGAACTGCGCATCGCATGAATGGGTCAACGTCACAAAAAGCGACGTATTTTTTTGACGTTTGAATTATTACAGGTTCATTTCTAAAAATAAAATAGATTTGTTTTATTTATAGACACGTACAAGAACATTAATTGGGATTTAGTTTGTAATGTGTTACTCTATGTTCTTTTTAACCATAACAAGACTATTTAAATTGAATTGTGTTTGTTATTGTGATAATATTTTTATTTTCTAACCGTGTCGGTTTTTCTTCTAAATGTAAACTGTTTATAAACAAAACAATCATGTGCATAACATTGCTTTAAACTTAAAATCATACAAATGAAGTAGCTGAATTTTCAAAGCAGAAACACATCTAACAAAGACATTGACCAGACGTAGCAGGGTATAATGCTTCTTGTTAATTTTTTTTATTGATATTGCCTTTGCTGAGAATGTATCAGTCATTGACGAGTTAGTACAGTTAGAACATGCGATCAATTTTTTCATCACTCTCCCATGCACTTCTATGAACAAATTTGTGTAGTTTTATCAATTGACAGTTTACTTAATATGCTCAAAGATTTTTAACTTATCGTGGACTTTTTCGTACCTACATCTTCTGATATTGTGAAGGATATCATATAAGATCATATAAATATTTTTTATCTATGAAGGTAAACATTGCAGTTTGATATTTTTCTTCCTTCTTTCTGAATAATGCGATGAGGGCCAAAGTATACAAGTTGTGATTGTGCTCTTTTCACTCGTAGGTGAGTCATTTGAACTTCATTTTGGTGAAAAAAGTTGTTTATTCTTTATAAAGCATAAAGCTCCTTAAGTTGGACCCCCGAAACCTTAAAATTTAAGCATGAGTTAGGGCGTGGGTCGCCTTTCTATTTGAATTCTATTTGAAATATGTATATTTGATTTATCCGACAATTCTACCCCAATTTGTACCTTCGCCATTGTTCGCCTTGTAAAGAGTTTTCTTTAACTCCTATAAATTAAGGAATACTTGCAAATAATCGGGTGAACATATCTACTTTGGAAAAGTATTGAAAAACGAAATATTTGAGTTTTTACAAGAAACATGCAAATTTCAAATCATATTTGATAGTAAAATAGAGAATGGAAATGGGGAATGTGTCAAAGAGACAACAACCCGACCAAAGAGTAAAAAACAGCCGAAAGCCACCAACACTGCCGAGAAAATCCCGCACCCGGAAGCGGTCTTCAGCTGTCCCCTAAACAAAAATGTGTACTAGTTGGGTCAATATCCCTAATGGACCTTGAGATGAGGAACACAGATTTATGACTCCCATTAAAAAATTAGTCCGCCATACAATTGTGGAAGCTGTGATTTTAAAAATTGACATAAATGAACTAGGACTGGTGTTTTATAGAGCTGATGTGATGTGAAAAAAAGTATAAAAAAATAAACCTGAACAAATAATTACAAAGGACATATTTTTTAATGATTTTTATGGTCAGAATTTTGGGATTATTTCCTGAGGAGAGTGACATTTTTCACTATCTTTCGGGGTTGGGCACTTGACAGGAACACGAATCACACTTGCCACCCCGAAAATCGCACCACACATGTGCAAGTGTCTCAGCTTCAAAAAAAGCCATCATACATATCCAAGTTTACGATATGGCCTGAGCAACAGAAGAAAACGTTAACATTACCGCCTATGGAGAATCTATTACGCATATTGCCCCAATTTGTGGCCTTGAATTTCAAAGGTGATGGAGTGTTTCATGGCTCAAAGACCACAATTTAGGATGATAGCTGCTGAAATCAAGGTCAGTTACACTCTTTTAGTGCTAATTAATCAAAACAATACAAAATGGCTTCCCAAACTTTTGATTTTTATCAAAAATATACTAATTTTTTGTTGTTAAATAGCATTGATGCAGAAAATGGGTCATGTAAAATCTGGACAGGGGCCATTCAGAGGAAAAGAAATTATATTTTAAGGATGCTAAATGTGGCTTATCCAAATGGAAAAAGGACAAAAATGAATGTTGCACGCTTGACAAAAATGTTACAGTTAAAAACAATTGACATTGATAGAAATTTAGATGCCTCGCACCTCTGCCATAATGCCTTGTGTGTTAATGCTGACCATATAATTTTTGAGCCCCATGATTTTTAAAATAACCACCGTAAGGTCTGTGTAACTTCACAAAAATGCACCACTCATGAACTGCATGGCGCAACATATCCAAACTGCATGTTGCATCTTAAACTGTGGTTTGTTCTATTTTGAATTCTAAAATTTAAGTCTCCGAGGTGACATATTGCACACTTCACTATGCATGAATCATTTACTCAAATACAAGTTACTTACACTGCTAAAAAAATAAAAATGGGATAAAAGCCCTCCCTCTCACCCTCCAAGACACTGAAACAAACATGCATGTTTATATTAACCTGAGGTAACACATTTTACGGCTTGTTTCACGAGTGTTTACCTTTTATTGACATAGGGGGGGAGTAACTCTTGTTGTTTACAAATGTATTTTTAACTGTGTCAGGAAATTGGGACATTCAAACCACATGAACCAACTAAAGTAAGCATGCTTTAAAAGCAATCTTCAATATAAAAACCAAACAAATCAAACAAAAACTACAAAATTATAAAATTAGGATATCAAAAGTAAAATAAAAAGCTAACAGAACTGAAATAGTTGCAAATGGAAGTAAATATGGACATGATTTTATTTTATTTTATTTCCTTGTATGTTGTATCAATGAATGTGTGCATGATAGGAAAAATAAATTTTTATGCAATACATGTGTGTTAATTTGCATGTATGATGCTGTGTGTGGTATGTTTCAATGTCAATACACTCTGTAAGATGTGTACAACTCTAAATTATGATGTCATAATGCAATGACGTCACAAAAACAATGACGTCACAATGTACTCTTCACCAAAGAAATAACACATTTTTCCCACTTTCAACTCACATACAAAAAAAACCTCTAAAATTCTTATTCCTTGATGGATTTTGAAAACAAGACTAGTTTTGGAAAGGTCTGTGACTAATCTTTACAGTAATGAACATATATTAGAGATATTTATTCAATAGACAAAAATATAATAGGAAACAAGACTATCAGGGTGGAAAAATTTCTTAAATCTCATAGTTTTTAAGTGAAAAACACTATATTTACATGATTTATCAACACAAAATGAGGATTTGTAGAAAGTCTGTAAGGAAGAAGAGGCTTATGAATTGCAGTTATACCAATAAAAGTTAAAACAAATGTTTAAAATGTAAATTTATAACATATGCTTATTGTGTTTTTCTCTTCCTTAAAAAGGATATTGAACAGTTATAAACATTGCTACCTAAAAGTATTAAAATGAGCTTATTTTATTTCAGATATGGCTAAAACTTCACAGAATTGTTCAGAAATGTGTACTAAAGGGATACAAACTGCAATATAAGTGGAATCTGACATTAGCTGATCTAATATGGGTCAATATCCCTAATGGACCTTGAGATGAGGAACACAGATTTATGACTCTCATTAAAAAATTAGTCCGCCATACAATTGTGGAAGCTGTGATTTTAAAAATTGACATAAATGAACTAGGACTGGTGTTTTATAGAGCTGATGTGATGTAAAAAAAAGTATAAAAAAATAAACCTGAACAAATAATTACAAAGGACATATTTTTTAATGATTTTTATGGTCAGAATTTTGGGATTATTTCCTGAGGAGAGTGACATTTTTCACTATCTTTCGGGGTTGGGCACTTGACGGGAAAACGAATCACACTTGCCACCCCGAAAATCGCACCACACATGTGCAAGTGTCTCAGCTTCAAAATGAGCCATCATACATATCCAAGTTTACGATATGGCCTGAGCAACAGAAGAAAACGTTAACATTACCGCCTATGGAGAATCTATTACGCATATTGCCCCAGTTCATTGAAAAAGGACGTCATACTCAACTCCTAAACATATAAATGAACTAAAATTTAAAAAAACATACAAGACTAACAGAGGCTTCTGACTTGGGACAGGCGCAAAAATGTCATAATTCACTTTTTGTCAAAATGTTTTGAAAAATCAAGGATAGATCTCAGTTTGCGCATCATATGCTCTTAAAAGGTAGACATTACAAAATCAGATTTTACGCTATTATCAAAACTGTTAAAGAGGCGTTAACTGCCAAGTTCATGTTCACCGACTTGCAATTACTAATACGCATATCAGAATTATAAAAGTTATAAAAGATACATTCAACAATGCATAAAATATTTAAAAGTGTCAACATATTGGGACTGGGCCCAATTCAATTAACAATCGACATGACATAAGGATAGCCGATCGGCATGTGACACTGATATAAATATGAATAGATAAACATCAATTGACGTTGATTCATTACATTTTTTATAAGTTGTTGTTGGCTTTGAAGTAGCGTTAAGTAACTGCGAGTACCTACAGATCGGTTATTTTGTCTTTAGTGTTTTGTGTTAGTTTTTGTTCGAATGTTATCAAAATAGAGTAAGACAAGTATATGATTTACCACCAAATTTATCTGAATTCATTATGTACAATGATCACTAAAAATCGATTCTTGGCAATGAAATGATAACTACACACTTAACGTACATCATAAGTAAATGACATTTAAATGCAAGCCAGTGATTTACTTTGAACTAAAAAAACATTTAGATGTCACTTTCATTAAGTTAAAAATTTAGTTGAAATGGATAATTTAAATTTTGTTATATTCCTTAGTAAATGAGATACAGTATTTCCTTTTTAGATTAATACTTTGTTATAAAAAATAAACATAAAATATCTCTATGTAATTACCTATTATAATCTCTCTAGACATAAAACGATATGCATTCGAAGTCTAAATTCTAGACAACGTTACATACGCCAAAGGCGTAACGTCATAAAAAATAAAAATGGGAGAACTTACTATTAACATGAGCAAATACAAAAAATAGAATATACCGTAACTATAAATGAATTAAAAAAAACCCAGCAATAATGAATCAATAAACACAATAAGTTGGAAACAACATATCAATTATGATAGTTGTGTTTGGGCTTTGTATCGATCTTGTGAGTCAAGCCTTTTTCATCTGATTTTTACATTTTGTTCGCATGTTGTGCTATTGCACCACTGTCCATGTTAGAGTATTGTAAAGCGCCCGCAAACATGTTTAACCCGCCACATTCTGTATGTGCCTGTCTAAATCCAGGAGCCTGTAATTCACTGTTTATCGTTTGATGTTTTGTACATAACTTATGCCGTTGGTTGTCTTGTTTGATTGTTATACTTTTTCTCATGTCATGTCGGCGCCTTTTTTATAGCTTAATATGCGATATGCATTTCGCTCAATGTTGAAGGCCATACGGTGATCGATAGTTCCTAATATCTACGTCACTCATATTTCACATAATTAAATATTTTAATTATTATGGCTGTACTCGGCTTGTCTTTCCTTGTATGCATTTTTCCAGTCTGGTGGTATTCTGATTTGGTGAATCGAGGCTTCATCAAGTGCTAACGATGATGTGTTTTCCTTGGAAAATTTCTTTAAGAATCGACCAGACATTCCATCAGGCCTAACGGTTATTGGTTGATTCAAGCCAGAGAGTAGTTTGAGTAGACATTTTGATGTATAGAAAAGCTCCTAGAAGTTAGTTGTATCCCAGACTGAAGTGAATTGGTTATCCCAATCACACTGTTTGCTTTTGACGTTTCGGGTTTTTACCTGATGTCGTTGTTGAACATGCTGAAGACGTATTTATTGTATATCTTCCGACATTCTCACTGGCAGTTAGTTATGATGACTTTTTAGCTTACCTGGCCAAAAGGACAATTAGGCTATTTTAATCACTTGGTGTCCGTCGTCGTCGTCCGTTAACTTTTACAAAAAAAAATCCCCTTTAAAACCAAAGGGCAATTTTAACCAAACATGGCCATAATCTTTAATGTGGAATCCGATGACCCCACCCCGACTGCAACCAATATACCCGACATGGCTTAAAAAGAACATAGGGATAACATGAAAGTTTTGTCTATTACTAGTATCTTGAAAACCGTCTTAGATAGAAAGATTCTTACAGGGCAAAAATGGTCGGAACTGTCTATTTACATCAAAAGTGTCAAACGACTTCTTATAGGAGTTATTGCCCCTAAACTTTCACCAAATAAAGGGAATTAGTTGACACCCAAAGGTTATCAGGTTAGCCTTCTCTTGTGTACCATAAGAACGAATTTCATTTACATCACATTGATTGACATTACATACAATTTGTCTGCTTGTCTGGCCTATTACCATCTTTGTTGAAATTTAATTTATAGGAATTTTCTTGAGGTGTAGAACTAATTTCCAGTATAACCTCTTTTAGTAGCAAGGAAATCTGTTTCATGTTTAGTTCGCTTATTTTGTGAAATTTCTATGGGTTCTTTTATTCCTTTATTTTGTCTAATAATGGGACCGAAAGTCTTTTCGAAATAAACATTACAAAAATCTTAACGTTTTTCAAGTAGTCACTGAACCATGAAAATGAGGTCAAGGACAATGGACATATGAAAGACGAAAAATTCATAACATAAGACATATATATATACAAAGTATGAAGCATCCAGGTCTTTAACCTTCTAAAATATAAAGCTTTTAAGAAGTTAGCTAACGTCGCCGCCGCCGCCAGATCACTATCCCTATGTCGAGCTTTCTGCGGAAGAATTCACAGGCTCGACAAAAATTGTAGCCAACGTACGGCCTTCAAGAAAACCCCATACCGTAGAATCGACTATAACAGGTCCTGACATGAAATATATTCAACAATTCAATTGAGAAAACTTGCGGCCAAATTTATAACAAAACAATTTTAATCACTGTGGTTAAAGGAAGGACTTCAACATAGTTTAGAAAAAACAACAACTCTTGATCGTTGTTCTTCATCTCATTGTTATTCGTTCAGTATTATTTTAGGGTCTTCTTCTATGAGTATTGCAATTAATCGTCTTAAGATGGTGTGGGCTGTTACGGAAACAGTAGGATGTGCAATGTGGAAGTGTCCATATATACAAAATCTTGGTTGGAGAGACGCTTACAATATAGTTTGCAACTATAGACCAGGGTAATACATATTTTGTTTTAGATTTTGATACAGATCTTTTAAAAAAAAAGACAGAATTGGAAGATATTTCTTTTTTCAATCATTAAACCAACTATTACCAGTTTTGCATAAATGTCTTAAGATATAGTGCAAAAAATAAACGTAAATTAGATATGCATCTAGCAATAAAACCATCAACAGCATAAATAAATGCCGTTTCAAATGTGAAAGGTGTTTATACTTTATTATACCCCTAAATATTATCCAATATTCATTGTTCTTTCTATCTCTTTAAGTTTGGGTTCGTAATTTAGTGTTTCCATTTCTTGTAAATCAACCGAATATTTAATACCCAGGAGCGTAAATCTGTTTGAACCTCACTCAAATCCCCACTTAACACACATTGTATCTTGGCTATATTTCTTTTTCCCAATCCAAACTACCTTTGTTTTCTCTAAATTCATCTTGAGACCAGACCATTCAGCATATAATTCTAAAACACAAAGAGATGCATTTAAGGATTCTGATGAACCATCTAAAATAAGTGTGGTGTCAACAGCATATTGCGATATCCAAAAATTCTGAGTCTTCAATAGTAATACCTTTAATATTTTCGTTTTTTCTAAGTAGTATTCCTAAAATTTCAGCACATAACAAAAAGATGTAAGGGGATAAAGGATCCCCTAACCTGCAACCTCTCTCAATTGTAAAAAAGCCTGAAAGAAAATTATTCTGTGTTACTGCTGATTTGGTATTTGTAAAAAAAGTTTTAACCCAGTGTTTTATGGAATTTCCAAAGTTGAAAAAATCAAGAACCTGTTCTATGAAAATCCAGGAGATAGAATCAAAAGCTTTTTCAAAATCAATTTGGAGGAGAGTGCCTGGGATATCATTTTCTTCGGTGTTGTGTAGTAAATCATATATCAATCTGGTATTTTCACCAATAAATCTTCCAGGTATAAATCATTACTAACTAAGAATGATAAAACCGATTTTATACTTTCTGCAATGCAACTTGATGCTAATTTGTAAATAGTATTTAAAAGACTAATTAGACGCCAATTTTTCATGTATTGCTTTGGTTTGTCACCTTTTGGTATGCAAGTTATAATACCTTGTTTTGGGGTAATAGACATTTGCCCTTGATTATAACCATATTTAATTGATCTATGTACAAATTTACCTAAATCTATCCAAAAAAAGTTTAGGAATTCATTTGTGTATCCATCAGATCCAAGGCTTTTCTCATTTTTCATTCTTTTAATTGCATCAGTCAACTCTATAAATGATATTTCCCCTTCTAAGGACTCTTTCA